TGTTGTAACCTAGAAAGGGTTACTGAATGAGGAATAACCAAAACGGAGGTTGGAAATGAAATGGTAATCTTTATAACATCAACAAAATACAATACTCGCCAGCGGCGTGAAATAGGTAAACCACTATTAGCATATTACCCCCATTTACAATAGTTTCTAACGTATCTATGAAGATTGGTACATACCCATTAGTGTTCATAAGTAATATATATATATATATATATATATATATATATATATATATATATATATATAAAGAAAAAAGAACAGTACATATTATATTTGAAGTGAAAATAATTCTACATACTGTAAGGGATTCTAATACATTTAATTGTTCTTAAAACAAATATAGTATATTAAAGATTAAAAGTGAAAAAATTTCAAATCGTAATTAAATAAAACGGATTCTAACCTAAACACCCACACAAAATCTTTAAATATAAAAAATAGGGGAAAAAATGCCGTAAGAATTTTTGCCGTTAACAATAAAAAAATTTTTAAAAATCCAGACGACATGCATTTAACGGATGTTAGATTTCATTGAAAAATACATCCCTACCCACTCCGAACCGTAACAAATAACCGATACATCAAAACATAGACATAATAAACATGCAGACACCCCTAGTCTAGTGAAAGTGGTTTTATCTTGGAAACGTGAATTATGATTTTAGCTGTGTCTTTAAAACCCAGTAATATTAAAAGTTACTTCGCTTGAGGATGAAATGGAACTAATGTCTTTAATTTAATTACAAAATTGAATTCGGAGCTTTTGCTTCCATTTTTGAAACATGGTTAGAACTGTGTAGCGGAAAAACCCATATTTTAAATCAATTAATTTATAATATATATATATATATATATATATATATATAGAGAGAGAGAGAGAGAGAGAGAGAGAGGTGAGTAAATCAAATAACTAGATATTAGTAATTGTATATGCGCGCACTAACGTGCATACACAGGCAAACAAATAGATATTTATTAAATTTACTTTAAGGTGTATATATAACAGTGCTCGATGTGGTTAGACAGAGCTAAGAAATATACATTAATAAATGTACATATACCTACGCTAGGAGTGCGACTTAAGTTCTAATCCCAACTCATCAGGCACGAGATATAACTAATATAATATACTGCGTTTCATGGGAGGGACGCAAAATTACACGCAGATTTACAGCTCAAATTTAAAGTAAGTCAAATATAATATTGGGGTGTAAATACAGAAAATAGGGTTTAGGTAGGGAGCCATTAAAAAATTAAATTAAAAAAGTTAAAGCAAGTTTCAAATTTTAAAGGGGAACGCTGGTTGACACTATGAGTGAAAATATACGATAAAATGTTTAAAAAGGGGTAATCAATATATAGCATAAAATATGTTATGTGAAGGTGAAATTTGGATAATATATTTATCCAAAATTAAAATATTTTAAGGGAAACTTCTTTCTATGACTACAGACTAGCATGAGTTCATTTCTTGTATTAAGCAGGTTTAAATTATTAATATTTTTGAGGATGAATCTTTTTTTTCAAGGAAAATGAGTTTGCATCATTCACTTCGGCCAGAAAAGGGTGTAATTTTGGCGACGAAATTCCAATTTACTACCGGTGTGTAATTTTTTATTTTTTAATATCCCAGTAAAATTTTGAGAATGCTGTAGCATTTGCTTATTTCTTATTGTTAAGGGTCATTGTGTGAGGATAAAATATCGTTTTCCAGTTATTTGCTGTTGAAATAAGATTTGCTTTCCCTATTATGCCTAATTGTAGCCTTATAGATGACGCTTTTATACATACATTTGTTATTCAGCGGACAGATAATACCTTTAGGGCAAATACACGTTTTATCTTCATGCTATTAGTCCTGTTTAAGTATTTGTTTAGAGTTACGCTATTATGTTGTGCTATATATTTCTCAAGGTTTCTAATGCGGCTATAACTAATCTTAATGTTGTTCTTATTGAAGATTCTGTTAAGTAAAGGAAATTGCTTAAATATTTGTGTACTAAATTGAGGAAAATCCTACTGATGTTATTTCTGACATCATACTTATTATAAAACCCAGGTTGTGTGTGTGTGTGTGTGTTTATATATTGGATCGGATTTCCTACATTTTTCAACCGATTTCAACAAAACTTCACAGGACTACGTAAAATTACCTAGCGGTGGTTCTGACAGCGCCAAAAAATGGAAAAACCAATTGTTTTTGCACGAAATCAATTTGTAAACACGATTAAGAAGCATCGCGAGAATGAAAGGTGGACAACTCATATCGAGTTATACTTATTATAAAACCCAGATTGTTTGTGTGTGTGTTCGTTTATATATGGGATCGGATTTCCTACATTTTTCAAACGATTTCAACAAAACTTCACTTTTTTTTGGCAGGTAGTGTTTCTTATTGTCTTGCACACTTTTTTCTTTATTTTTACATTCAGAATGCTTTAAAAAATTCCATTTACAAGACAATTGTTTATAATAAAATTCTATTCAATCGGTAGACTCATAACGATTGAAAACAATGTTTTTGTTTGAGTTTGACCAATTCGTAAAAAAAAACTAATTAAGACATGCGTGTCCGTCAACCTTAAACAATAATCTTTGTCAATTTTATTTTTCAGTCTTTATGATGGTCGATACTTGATCTATCTCTTACTGTTACATCCCCAGGCAACGCCGGGCTCTACTGCTAGTTACTGTTAAAAGGTGGATTGAATTAAATTATGTTTCCTTTTCTATCCTTACGTTTACTATCACTAGTAAGAATACCAATAGTAAACGTAAGAATAGAAAATGCAACTTGTTATTTTATCGTCCTTTCTTCTTACTAAAATCTTCTCGTTCTATTTCACTTCCAGTAACTCCCCCCACCCCCACGTGTCTTTGTGGCATTATCGCCATGCTTACGGTGAAATTATTAAAAATGATTATATTTATATCACTTGTATATTTCATAATGCTCATACGTATGAGTGTTTAGGAGAACACACACACAGTATAAACTTAATAACTGAATTTCTTTCGTAAATTTCTCTGCCAATATTTGTCTTTCTAATGATGACTGGTATTAAGTTTGCGATCTAATTTTCCATCATCTCTTTTCATACAAACTTCTGTGACGATATTAAGTATTCACGATTTGAAAATATTAATAAGTCTTCTTCTTATCCTATTTTATTCATATACGCTTTTATTGCCATGACTAACAAAGCAAAGTTTGTGAAATAAATTGATTTCGCTGTTTGTCTTTTATTTAAAAGAAAAATTGTGTAGTTGACGGAAATGAGTTTTTTTCTTGTTTCAAAATCTTAAGACGCCATTCTGCTCTAAGGAAAACGTTTTTATCTATTTTTCTGTATCAAAAGCAGCTGTAACTTTTCTCAATTTTTTTCTTGATGTTTCTTTTCAGAATTTTTTTTTTACTCCAAACTTAGAGTTGCTTCTTTCGATTTATTTTTCAGGGTTCGGACGTCATGTGAGCATATTTCTAAGAAAAATAAAAATTTTGTTCATACCCGAAGAATTTTTAAGAAATATTTCACCTTCCAGAGGAATATTCACGTTCTGCATTTCTGAAGGAATCGATTTTTAATCTCGCAGATAATTCTGAGATATTGATGTTCCGATCAAAGTTCTGTTTTAATGCAAGTTGTACACATCAGGAGACGCTACAATATGTCCAAAATTAAATAAATAATTCACAGAATAGACTTTTTCTAGAAAATGCGAAATTAGTTTCGGATAGGATTTAGTTAATTCTGCCATCTGCGTAATTTTATTATTCTATTTATACCAAAATGTATCCAATACAAGACCTAAGACCCACTCAAGGTAGAGGGTTAATGAATGAGGCGTGCGATATGAACGTAAGAGGAGGAAAATTACTAATATATTGCTGAGAGATAACTATTAAATCTCGATTGTAAGGAGTTAAGATTGTCGTGATACTGGAATCATTCAGGCGGGAATCTGGTTCCTAAAGTAGCGGTTCTTGAGAAGTGGTTTTCTTACCAAAAAAATACGTAGGGAATGTGAGTGATTCAACCATCTGTATGTACCAAGGCGGGTTTGGGGTTTTGGTGGCGCTAAAGAATGGAACGCGTCGGAAATGATCGGTGGTTCTAATTGTATAAAAACATAACCCCGTAATTCACTTGTAGTGAATGCAAAACGAAATGTTAAAATGCAGGGTAATTTTTAATATCTGTCTATATTTCTGAGACGAGGTATTATGTACACTATTTACATTATTCGGACTATTGTCCTCATTTTTGTCGCCATGTTTCAAGATGAGGACAATAGTCCGAATAATGTTAATAGTGAACCTTTAACATGTTAGCCACAACAAATTCCGCCCGGGAAAAAAGCGTCTCCCCTAACTCAAATGAGATTCTTTATTGGAGGATCCTGGATAAAATGGTTTTCTAAACGGATAAGTGGGTTACTGGCTCGCTTGAATAAAATTTACCTGCTTGTATCTTATTCACACCTAATGGCTAGACTTCAAACATGACCCTCCAATTTCTCATTCCGAGCTGTACCCGTTATACCAACCGAACATCACCCTTTCCCATGATTCTCATCGGGTTGGGAAGTGACACCGGTGGATCCAGAATCTTATTCCGACCATTACACGGAAGCTGGCTTCCAAGCCACAGTTCAACCACCATTATCATAAGGATGAACGGTTGCCATCAAGGTTACGAAGGACTTCCATCTACTCTAGTTTGGAAATTAGTGATCCTTCTCCTAGACAAACTGCCAACCAAGGCTAACAAGCTGTCTACTAGAATTGAATAAAATTTTTGAACATTTAAATGGGGAGGGGCAACACTTGTCATCGAATACAACACAGCCAATGATCATGAGGTTGAGATCAGAGAATTCTGCCATATTTATGTGGGGGGGTAGAGATTCTCTTACCTTGTTATATTCAAACTATCACTTGTTCCACTCTATGTAGAATTCTTTCTCTGACCGATAAGGTTTCCGGTCGCATCACATTGAAATACCGGTTCCTCTATGAATACCAAAGTTAAGCAACGTCGAGAATGATCAGTACCGAGTTAGGTGACCTCTTGGGAATACCAGGTTGCTTTAAGCTTGGGTGTGTGAGTGGTATAGGAGATAATGGCTCGGAATTATTAATCGGAGAGCTGAGTTTCAATTCCACTTGGATTCATTATATTCACTTAAGAGCAAATACCCTTGGGAAAGACACGAATCTACATTTTATTCTCCAGCTATGGGTTAATTTGTAAGACTTGTACCACTAAACCATCATTATCTCCCCCAAAATTCTTATAATCTAAAAATATTTTCTGGTTTTAAATTGCAAAGGGTTGATAAGTCGCAGAAAAAGAATTAATGAATCAATCTGAACGATAAGTTCTAATAATGTCAAGATATCTAAAATAAATCTGCGAATACTTCATTAAAAATAACCGGAATCGTTCATTTATACACAATTTAGATAAATAGTGAAATGAGAAAATCCAAAGAATATACTTAAACTAATTCTAGTTTATGAATTAATAAAATTACAGGAAGCTTTTACATTTTTTTGGGGGGGGGCAGTTGATTGAGAAGCGTGTGACCGTGCGTTGTCGTGCATAAAAATTCGGCCATCCCTATTCATAAGTGTAGGATGTTTCTTTTACAATTTTTCATGCATACACTCAGTTTCTCCACAATACGAGGCTGCTGGTATTGTTTTCCTTTGAGGCAAGTATGAATAATGAATAACCCCTTTGAAAGACCACCATACAATAACTATTAACATTTTAGGGTGCAGTGGGTTTTTTTTTATATTCGCTTGAATCTAACCACTGGCCTACTCCCTTATTGTTGTCAAAGTGTATCAATTTCTCATCGCATGTAAAATGGTTCTTTTTCCCAGTGTGTACTCATACCGTAAGATTACTCGATATTATTTCATTGTAATCATTTTCATTGGGCTTCTGAATCACAATATATTGAAAGAAAAGTTATCTGGAAAGAACAAGAGACAGGAATAAGTCATGATTTTCTATATACTAAGGCAGTTACTTCGTTAGACGACCGGAACGACAACCAACAAAAAAAAAAAAATGCGACGTTTCATGTATGATAGCCTAATTACAGCAAAATCAGAATTATTCAGGTGTATCTTCTCTTTTCCAATTTAGATTTCATTTCGTGTAGGAATATTCTTGTTTCGAAACATAATTGGGATTTTTCTTTTATATGTCAGTATAGGTTTTCATATGAAAAATATCTATTAGTATGCGTGTGTGCCTGTCTATGTGTCTGTGTGAGAGAGAGACAGAGATAGTGGGGGTTATTACATGCGCCCAATACACAGCTGTGTGTAAATTAATTGAAACAACCACTTTAGTTTCCTTTCTTTTACCATGCAGTCAGTTTTAGACCCATTGGAGTAACAGGGTGTAATAGATTTCTATTTTTTCTTCAGATTAGAATCTATCGTCAGGTTGTATGATGAAATTTGTTTGTCCTTGAAAAATATTGTGTCATCCGTGGTTGCAACAGATTTTTTTTATGCCCAGACACTATTGTTTCGACTATCGATTAGTTGTCCTACGACCATTGTCTACGATAGACGTCACTCCAATGAAGCGTACGCAAATTGTAATGCTGCACAAACACACTGGCAATGCTTACCAGCGAGCAAGTTGTATAGATTGGCCCGGAAAATCTCCGGATTTAAATCCAATCGAAAATCTGTGGTCAATCTGCAAGGAACGACTTCGTGGAATGGACATACGACGTACTAACATGTTCACTAGATCATGTTTCATTGGAAAATATGCAAAAGTAAATAATAACGGAATTGTTCGTTTTGTTTTAATTAATTTACACAAAGGTGTATGTATGCAGGCATACAGGTGATTTTGAACCTAGCTAGAGAAAAAGATATGCGAGCGGCGAATTAGAGATGTCAAAAATTAAGTAAATACAGTAGTTTCAACATCTGGGAAGTGTTTTAAGAGAACAAAGAAAATGTCTCACAAAGATCTGAAGACGCCATGGAGAAGCAAAAGATTTCTTGCAAAATCTAAACTTATTAAGAAACGGAAAAATTCCGAAATTTTCTGAAATAAAAAAAAGTGTACTGAATAGCTATCAAACAGCCCTCCTTTTATGCTATTGAATCTTGAACAATTTCCTCGCAGATGAAACAAATGGAAACGAAAAGGACGCTTATATCTAAAAACCAAGAAGGTACAATGGAAACCTCTGTGACATATAATGAGGAAAGAAGGCTTGGAAATTTTGACACTCAAGGACATATTGAAAGCAATAGGAACAGAGAAAAACAATAACCCCTCACTTGTGGAACTCCCTTCTGGCTCTCGCTTGTAGAACTCCCTTTCCTTATAGTCAGTGACAATACTACGTTAATTAAAGAAAAGCAATATATTCAGACAAAAAATGTACAGAAACTCGCGTGCGCGCGTGTGTGTGTTTTGATGTATGTAAAATAATACTTTCGTGGTAGTTCTGATAATCTCTTCGTTATGGTATCTAGACATCTTTTAATTTAAGCGCAGTACTAAACTGGTGTCAAAGTCTCATCAATTTAGAGTTGAGATGATTAAATATAACCGCAAATTTTATGTTCATAGTTTCTTATCTCGCACTCTTCGCATGTGGAACTCTCTTCCGGTTCCATGCTTTCCAGCCAAAAATTTAAACGCAATCTCAATCGCTATCTCTTGCCCTCCTGATTACTCTTTTCTCTTCCCGCTCATTATTAATGTTTCTTTTCCTAATTCGTCCATAGCCTATAACCTCTTGCGTCTTAGTGGCTTTACTGCTTTGCATGGCAGGATACAGATTTAAAAAAAATTAACGAGCGTGTATGAATCTCTCTTTATAAAAAGCAGGATGTGTGTGTGTGTGTGTGTGTGTGTGTGTGTGTGTGTGTGTGTGTGTGTGTGTGTGTGTGTGACGAATGCACGGACGCAATTTTCGACGGATTTGCACCAAAATTTACATGCACATGTTCCAAGTTAGCGGGAAGGCCACGACCGATTTTGCATTTCCCAACTTCCATCGATAATGGAAATAATCGATTTTTTCATCCTTCTACGGCAGTTTTCATGTAGTTTGCGGCCAGTAAGAGCCAATAGCTGCCTGCCACGAATAGGCAGGAAAATTCTATTGACCAGTGTGAGAGCCAACAGCTGACTGACACGAATGTTAACTAGCATGCAAAAAAAATCGATAGCTGTATTCGTCACAAGTGGGAATAATTTAAATCTGCATGGCACTTTACTCCAATTGGCTCATTTGCTTGCTTAAACTCAACGTTGATTCTGATTCCACAGAACTGGGTTGCGTGTGAAAAAGTATTTGTTGTTAACATTCTTTGTTCATTCGGTTTTTCCAGTTACGTGTCCTTTTTTTAAAGCTGATCGTTTTATGTTCATTTTGTTTAGTTCTTTTTTCGTAACAGATTTAATGTTTAGTATAGAGCTTAGAAAAAATTCGCAGTGTGAAATAGGCAAGAAGTAAGGCATGTAGCAACATCAGCATGGCAAAGGGCACTCCTTTAAAGGCAAGGAAGGGCAAAAATATTTTAAGTCAAGTGATAGCGATTGCTGTATGAGTCGTACGATTTTTTAATCAAGCACGGGCAACGCCGGGCCATGCTGCTAGTAGATGATAACTTGCTATATCAATTACTACTGAGTAGTGAGTTCGAATATCATTAGGTGATCTATACTTTCGGCCTGGTACCACATCAAAGCTACGCTTAATAAATCGCTATAAATAGAATAGTGAATTGTGGAGACCCTTGATCGCTCACATTCTAAAGGGACACAGCACATAAAACAAGTGTGAGGCGTAAACGTTTCCATTGAGTGTGTATGAGTGAAAGCTTATATGTGCAACATGAGTGTGTCAGTGTATATGGGTTTGTAATGTTCAGTGTTCATTCACTCGTCCTTGTTTACCATGAAATTATTTAAGTGAATGCGCATGCGCGTGTTTTTTTTTAACTTTCCTCTAGATACGCATCCACACGATTGAATCAGTTTCTCAGTATAATTGTATCCACTTTTTAGTGTACATCTTTGCCTGATTAAATCTGTTTGTGTCTCTGTTTACGATGATCAAATTAGTTTTTGCTCTCATTCCTTTAAATCGTAACTTCGCCTTCTTTCACCAATTCTTATTCGAATGGATAAAAAAAAAAGGATCCAGCATTGAACTACTGCTGCAATCAATCCTTACCCATTTTTGCTTCCTTTGTAGTCATGCAGAAAATTTTGCATTACGAACTTACTTGAGGGCAGTAAAGATTCTTTTTTAAGTAAGAAGGATAAGATGGCTCAGTGGACGATTACGACATTGAAATTGACGGGGAATCAAACTAAAATAGTCTTAATATTGATGTGAACAATTAAAAAAGAAGAAAACGTAGTGCCAGGTTAGGGGTTTAAATTCTTAGTTAAACAATGATTATTTTGTACAAATGATAGAATTTTATTTCATTTATACAATTTCGATTATGGCGGCGCACGCGATAATGAATTCTTTTGCAACCTACAAACTCTATTTTCCACAGATGAAACGTCGCAGACCTTGCGTTAGGCGACGCCTATTCTAGCGAACCATCCTAATTCCCTTCGTATTCCATTGTGTAGATGTAAATTCTACTCAAGCAGCAGCTTCTCACAAACCGGTGATTTGCGAAACTGACTCTCAAGAGGCTGCTTCCCCGATCACTACAATCTTAACCTGTTCAAGTCTTGGGTCAACCGTTATCTCCCCCACCCCATATTCCCATAAACTGTACTTCTTACTCTGTTATCCTCTACCTTGAGAGGATTTTTAACATTGTACTAGGTGAGCATTATTATAAATATAAGTTAATATTTTTTGTATAATACGCACAACTAACATTAACATTTAAAATGTTGCCTTATACAGGAATAATTACGATAGTCTCAGTCCAATATCATAGTTTATTATAAATAAAAAATAAATCGAGCAATCTTTTGTAAAATTAAATTAGATTAAAGTATAATTTAATAGATTGTAATTGAGACTTGTCGTCTTATATAAACGAATAAATATATACGTAT